TCTGCAGAAAGTACTACCCTTGGCACCACTTCTGCAGAAACTAGTACCCTTGGCACCAATTCTATAGAAACTACTACCCTGGAAACCACTTCTGCCAGACCCACTTCTTCAGAAACTACTAGCTTGGGCATAACTTCTGTCGAAACTACTACCTTTGGCACAACTTCTTCAGAAACTAGTACCCTTGGCACCACTTCTGCAGAAACTAGTATCCTTGGCACCGCTTCTGTAGAAACTGCTACCCTAGGCACAACTTCTGCAGGACCTACGTCTGCAGAAACGACTACCCTTGGCAGCACTTCTGTAGAATCTATAACTCTGGGCACCACTTCTGCAGAAACTAGTACCCTTGGAAGCACTTTTGTAGAAACTACTTCCATTGAAACCACTTCTGCAGTACCCACTTCTACAGAAACTACTGCCCTTGGCACCACTTCTGCAGAAATGATTTCTCTGGTCACAACTTCTGCAGAAACCATTACTCTTGGCACCACTTCTGTAGAAATTACTACTCTGGGCACAACTTCTGCCGAAACTGCAACCCTGGTCACAACTTCTGCAGAATCTATTACTCTGGGCATCTCTTCTTCACAGTCTAGGACCCTGGGCACCACTTTTGAAGAAACCACAACCCTTGAAACCACTTCTGCTGAAACTACATCCCCAGTTAGTTCAACAGGAATACTATTGGAAACGTCCAAACATGTAATGACAACTGCTGAAACAACAACCTCAATCGAAACTACATCTGGCATAACATCCGCTGTTGAAAGCACAATGTCTCAAACTGCCACTTGGCACCACCACTGCAGAAACCACTATCATTTGCACCACTTGTGTGAAAAAAACAACTATGACAGATACCGATTCCTTAGAATGTACTACCACTTGTACACACACTACCCTGTAGAAACTACTACTCTGGGCACCACTTCTTCAGAAACTACTGCCCTTGGCACCACTTCTGTAGAAACTACTACCCTGGAAACCACTTCTGCAGGACCCACTTCTGCAGAAACTACTACCCTTGGCACCACTTCTGCAGAAACTACTACCCTGGGCACAACATCTGCAGAAACCACTATCCTGGAAGCAGAAACTACTACCCTTGGTACCACTTCTGCAGTCAGTAGTACCCTTGGCACCACTTCTTTAGAAACTACTACCCTGGAAGCCACTTCTGCAGGATCCACTTCGGCTGAAACTACTACCCTTATCACTACTTCTGCAGAAACCACTACCCTTGGCACCAGTTCTGCAGAAACTGCTACCATTGGCACCACTTCTGGAGAAATTACTACACTTGGCACAACTTCTGCAAAACCTACTACCCTTGGCACAACTCCTGCAGAAACTACTACTCTGGGCACCACTTCTGTAGAAACTACTACCCTTGGCACTGCTTCTGTTGAAACTACACCTTCAGTTAGTTCAACTGAAGTAGTATTGGAAGAAAACGCATTTGAAACGAGAACTGCTGAAACCACAAACTCCGTTGTATCGACACCTAAAGTAACATCTGATGTTAATAGCACAACGTATCAAACTGCTACTTGGCACCACTATTGCAGAAACCACTATCATTGGCACCACTTGTGTGAAAAAAACAACTATGACAGATACCGATTCCTTAGAATGTATCATCACTTGTACACGCTCTACCCTGTAGAAACTACTTCTGTAGAAAAAACTACTCTGGGCACAACTCCTGCAGAAACTGCTACCTTTGGCACAACTTCTGCAGAAACTACTACCTTTGGCTCAACTCCTGCAAAAACTACTACTACGGGCACCACTTCTAAAGAAACTACTACCCTTGGATTTGCTTCTATTGAAACTACACCTTCAGTTAGTTCAACGCAAGTAGTATTGGAAACATCCACATTTGAAATGAGAACTGCTGAAACATCAACCTCAGTTGTATCTACGCCTGGCATAACATCTGCTGTTAATAGCACAATGTCTCAAACTGCCACTTGGCACCACTATTGCAGAAACCACTACCACTGGCACCACTTGTGTGAAAAAAACAACTATGACCGATACCGATTCCTTAGAATGTACCACCACTTGTACACACACTACCCTGTAGAAACTACTACCCTGGGAACCACTTCTGTAGAAACAAGTATTCTGGGCACCACTTCTACAGAAACTACTACTCTTGGCACAACTCTTGAAGAAACTACTACTCTGGGCACTACTTCTGTAGAAAGTACTTCCCTTGGCACCACTTCTGTTAAAACTACACCTTCAGTTAGTTCAACGGAAGTAGTATTGGAAAAAGCCACATTTGAAATGGGAACTGCTGAAACAACCTCAGTTGTATCTACACCTGGCATAGCATCTGCTGTTGGAAGCACAACGTTTCAAACTGCCACTTGGCACCACCACTGCAGAAACCAACAGAAACTACTGCCCTTGGCACAACTCCTGCAGAAACTACTACCCTTGGCACTGCTTCTGTTGAAACTACACCTTCAGTTAGTTCGACGGAAGTAGTATTGGAAAAATCCACATTTGAAATTAGAACTGCTGAAACATCAACCTCAGTTGTATCTACACCTGGCATAACATCTGCTGTTAATAGCACCACGTCTCAAACTACCACTTGGCACCACTATTGCAGAAACCACTATCATTGGCACCACTTGTGTGCAAAAAACAACTATGACAGATACCGATTCCTTAGAATGTACCACCACTTGTACACACACTACCCTGTAGAAATTACTACCCTGGGAACCACTTCTGTAGAAACAAGCATTCTGGGCACCACTTCTACAGAAACTACTGCCCTTGGCACAACTCCTGCAGAAACTACTACCCTTGGCACAACTCCTGAAGAAACTACTACTCTGGGCACCACTTCTGTAGAAAGTACTTCCCTTGGCACCACTTCTGCTAAAACTACACCTGCAGTTAGTAAACATCCACATTTGAAATGAGAACTGCTGAAACAACAACCTCAGTTGCGTCTACACCTGACATAGCATCTGCTGTTGGAAGCACAACGTCTCAAACTGCCACTTGGCACCACTTATGTGAAAAAAACAACTATGACCGATACCGATTCCTTAGAATGTACCACCACTTGTACACACACTACCCTGTAGAAACTACTACCCTGGCAACCACTTCTGTAGAGAAAAGTTTTCTGGGCACAACTCCTGCAGAAACTACTACCTTTCGCACAGCTCCTGCAGAAACTACTACCCTTGGCACTGCTTCTGTTAAAATTACACCTTCTGTTAGTTCAACGGAAGTAGTATTGGAAAAATCTACATTTGAAATGAGAACTGCTGAAACAACCTCAGTTGTATCTACACCTGGCATAACATCTGCTGTTAATAGCACCACGTCTCAAACTGCCACTTGGCACCACTATTGCAGAAACCACTATCATTGGCACCACTTGTGTGAAAAAAACAATTATGACAGATACCAATTCCTTAGAATGTACCACCACTTGTACACACACTACCCTGTAGAAACTACTTCTATAGAAACTACTACCCTTGGCACAACTCCTGCAGAAACTACTACTCTGGGCACCACTTCTGTAAAAAGTACTTCCCTTGGCACCACTTTTGTTAAAACTACACCTTCAGTTAGTTCAACTGAAGTAGTATTGGAAAAATCCACATTTGAAATGAGAACTGCTGAAACCACAACCTCAGTTGTATCTACACCTAGCATAACATCTGCTGTTAAAAGCACCACGTCTCAAACTGCCACTTGGCACCACTATTGCAGAAACCACTATCATTGGCACCAGTTGTGTGAAAAAAATGATGACCGATACCGATTCCTTAGAATGTACCACCACTTGTACACACACTACCCTGTAGAAATTACTTCTATAGAAACTACTACCCTTGGCACAACTCTTGTAGAAACTACTACCCTGGGAACCACTTCTGAGAAAACTACTACCCTTGGCACTGCTTCCGTTGGAACTACACCTTCAGTTAGTTCAACGGGATTGGTATTGGAAACAGCCACATTTGAAATGAGAACTGCTGAAACGACAACCTCAGTTGTATCTACACCTGGCATAACATCTGCTGTTGGAAGCACAACGTATCAAACTGCCACTTGGCACCACCACTGCAGAAACCACTATCATTGGCTCCACTTCTGTAATAAAAACAACTATGACAGATACCGATTCCTTAGAATGTACCACCACTTGTACACACACTACCCTGTAGAAAATTCTACCCTGGGAACCACTTCTGTAGAAACTACTACCCTGGGCACCACTTCTACAGAAACTACTACCCTTGGCACTGCTTCTGTTGAAACTACACCTTCAGTTAGTTCAACGGAAGTAGTATTGGAAAAAGCTACATTTGAAATGGGAACTGCTGAAACAACCTCAGTCGTATCTACACCTGGCATAACATCTGCTGTTAATAGCACCCCGTCTCAAACTGCCACTTGGCACCATTATTGCAGAAACCACTATCACTGGCACGACTTGTGTGAAAAAAACAATAATGATAGATACCGATTCCTTAGAATGTACCACCACTTGAACACGCACTACCCTGTAGAAACTACTACCCTTGGCACAACTCCTGCAGAAACTACTACCCTTGGCACAACTCCTGAAGAAACTACTACTCTGGGAACCACTTCTGTAGAAACTACTTACCCTACTACCTGATTCCTTAGAATGTACTACCACTTGTGCACACACTAGTACCTTTGCCACCCATTTTGCAGATAGCCCTACACTTGTCATCACTGTAGAAACATCAGCATTGGTTAATTCAATAGTAATAGTGTTGTAAACATCCACACATGTAATGACAACTGCTGGAACAACAATCTTTGCTATATCTATGCCTGACATATTATCTGCTTTTGAATCCATAGTGGCTGAAAGTAACACTTCTGCAGAAAGTGCTACCCTTGGCACAATTTTTGTGGAAAGTACTATTCTGGCCACCACTTCTGGAGAAAGTACTACCTTTGACTCCACTTCTCCAGAAACTACTACCCTAGGCACCACTTTGACTGAGACACTGTTGTTCTGAAATTCTGCAGTAAGTACTGTACCATTTCTGTAGAACCAACAACTTAATTTAACGTTAATTCTATTTAGGAAACATCTGCATTTTTATTGACTTTAAAACAATAAGGCAAGAAGGAAACAGACCAACTACTACACCTCAAACTTTGACAGAGTAGGCTAAGTTCACACCGTAGGCAAATGTGGCCCAAACGGTTTTTTTTTTTTGTTTTTTTGGTACTAAATCCGATACAGGTCAGATGTTTTGCAGTGTGACCACAGTATGAACTGTCATATTGGAATTCATGCTACTTTTACGTCACCCTAGATCAACATTCGTCACTTATTCTGCGCTCATGGGAGTCACTTCAAAGATTTTACTTGCCAAAAGTTATCAAGACCGTTGTGAAAGGTAGTCAGTGGAATTACAGTGATGTGTCAGAACTCAGTGTGAAAGTAGCCTAAAATTCAACAACACCAGTAACTGCACATGCAGAAGCCACAACCTTAGTTGCATCTACCCCTTGCAAGCAGTTAGAGGTTTTACAACCGTTCACACATTTAATGATATTTAATCAATCTCTTTTTCTCTCTCACTATATATATATATATATATATATACACACACACACGTTTTGTCAGATTACAAACAAGATTTATCTGTGTGTTAGTAGATTAGCTGCAACTAATTAGCATTGGCTCTGCTTGTTTGTAACCTTATGCTAGTACTCACTGCTCTTGTTAGATTGCGTTGGTCATTATGGAAATGAGATGCGTCTGTGTTGTTTAATTTGCGCTTTGTCAGTATATCACCCACAGAACTTTCCACTCCCATCAGCGATTTTTCTGACTTGTGCTCACTAATTTACCTTTAGTAAATCTGGCCCTTAAAATTCTTAGGTCAACATAAGTGATGAAAAATGTCCACAAGAAATAGAGGAAAATTATAAATTTTATTGCATCTGTCCATTTTCAGTGAAAATATATTTATTTTGTCTTGTTCCTTCAGGTGAATAATCTTTACTTCCGTTTACCTTGTGGCAACAATGGAGGTTACAGATTTAAAGATGTATGGTGTATGAATGACCTGTATGACTCTTTTAGGCAAGTCTTTCAGAAGCATATCAAATGTCCAGATTTTAATTTATTTTAAAAGCTTAACAGTTCACATTGCTTACTGACTAACGTTGCACCGTTTACATTTGGCTAAGTCTGTTCATTTCTTTTTAGTAGTATGGGATTTGTTTTCCTTTTTTGCAGGCTACATTTACTAAACAGTTTTGCTGTTCTTAAAGGCATAGTTCCCTTTGTACAAAATGACATAAGAAATCCATCTGAACCAAGTGGCTTACTCAAAGTCTTTTCTTCATAGCATTTGTCTCTACAGAAAAATTTATTTACATATAAATATAGATTGACAGAGCAATACATAATGCATAGAGCACATCAAATACGGTAAACGAAAGCTCAAATATGCTTGTGATGCACAAGGAACAGGATGTTCATTCTTCTGTTTCTTTACATAGACTTTCAGTTGAAGGGCAAAAAAATATAATTATTTTCATTTGTGTTCTGAAGACAGTTTTTACGGATTTGGAGAGACATGAGAGTGAGCAAATGACGGTTTTCATTTTTGGGTGAACTAACCCAAATGAGTTGTATTCCTTTCATATTATGAAGTATGTTCATCAACATAACTTTTAGTAAATTAATTATAATGTTCATGTTTTGCAGTTGTACCTGTGGAACAAGCATACCATTGATCATGCCACTTCTAACAAGATATACAAGATGAGCAGATGATGGGCAATGAGATGAGGACAAGGTCTTGTGGTATTCCTTAAAGACTGCTACTCTACAGATACTGATCTCTGCGCTCCTGCTTAATAAAATGGGAATATAAATGTAAATTAATCACATTTAAGGATCTGATGAGGTTTTCTTTTGACAAAATATATATTAAAATATTTGCTGTAATTGATTTTTGAAAATGTGTTTTATGGTTTGTGTAATGTAAATGTCACCGTCAAATGAATAAAAGAATTTCACTGAGGCCATCATGAAACATTGTTTATTAGGTACTATATACTCAAAGCAATTCAAAACTAAACTTCTACCATTGAAATCAGCCAAACTGCCTGCACTGTAAGCAGTGAGATGTTTGTGTTTGCAGTTTTGACCGCTTTCTTGATTATGGTGGGCTTGATTGAGTGTTCTGCAACACTTATTTTGTAGTGTAAATTTGGTATAATAAATGGACTGTAGCATAAGTTTTGGTGTAAATGTTCAAATGATTTTGCTAGTAAGAAAGGTTCTTTCTGTCATTGATTTAAACACTTTGGCTCATTGATGTGTAATTGTGTTTGTCATATGGTGTGG